GGATCCACAAAGTGGATGAGAGTTTCAAGTTTGTCGGGTTTAGAAGATTCGACGGTTTTCAGATAGGTTTCGAAGGTACGAAACCAGTGATTCCAGCGTTTTGCTGCATCTGCGGAGTTTGGGTCAGCGTCGAAGAACCGAGGTCGTAGTTGCGGGTCCATTGTGTTCTTAGACAAGTAAATTGAGACGTTTAGAATGAGTCCGAGAACGAGTTAGAACAGAGTCCAGGTTTTCGAGGATAACCAACGTTTTACTTGTCTAAGAACAAGCGTACATGAGCTGAAATGTACATACAAAAGTTCAGTACGAGTATATATGGTAAGAATGAACACACAAAAGTCATGGCAAATGGGTCCTTGCTTGGCTAAGTACCCCTTGGTGGTCTCTTCTGCGTGGTTCCTCTGGCAACACGTTTTATGATCACGTGGATGCCTTGTTGCGGCGAACTAAAATCTCAGATATCGTTGTGTTTGCCGGAGATATGAATGCACAAGCGGACAGGCGTAGCTAATCTGAGACTTAATTAAGTGGTCAAAATGGATTGGATTCGGTATGTACGGACAATGGTGAACGATTGCTTCAGCTGTGATCTGACCGTAGGTTGTTCTTATGCAGTACTTGCCTCTCAAATACCCAAAGCCATCTGGCCACACGGCGTCCTCCAAGGGCTTGCGGGACACGAACTCAAATCGATCACATTGCTATCAGTTCTCAAAGACCCGGATCAATAACTGACAACCGTTCGTTTTGGAACACATTTGTGGATTCCGATCTCGCACTCGTCCGGAGTCGCTTCTCCCTACGTTTTCCAGGGCCGCATAAGATGCGGACTAATCGCTTGTCAACTGAGACTCTCAGATCCGAATGTTAAACAAACTTACCGGAATCGTCCTCTGGAGTCTCTTTCAAAGACTCCACCATCGGACGCGAACTCATGCAGAGACGAGATTGCAACCTCTTTGCATAGTTCTGGGAATGCCGGCAATGCTTAAAGATTAATTTAGTTGATACGCGTTACTGGTCCCCGGATACCCCATGTGATTCCGATCTGCACTCGTCCGGAGTCGCTTCTCCCTACGTTTTCCAGGGCCGCATAAGATGCGGACTAATCGCTTGTCAACTGAGACTCTCAGATCCGAATGTTAAACAAACTTACCGGAATCGTCCTCTGGAGTCTCTTTCAAAGACTCCACCATCGGACGCGAACTCATGCAGAGACGAGATTGCAACCTCTTTGCATAGTTCTGGGAATGCCGGCAATGCTTAAAGATTAATTTAGTTGATACGCGTTACTGGTCCCCGGATACCCCATGTGAGCGAAACCAACAAGGGTCAGAAGGAAGTGACCATCTCGAGAATGACTTCACCGGTGGTCCGAATACTTCGAATAAGTTATCGTGGGCGCCAGTTGCACTCCTCTGGAGCTCACAGTTGAGGCAGAACCCTGGGCGGTGAACTTGGAACCGCCTACGAACTCGAAGGTTTATGACTGCACGTGTTCACTCAAGCGCCACCATGCTTTTGCTCCAGATGACCCCGCTCCAGCACTGTGCAAAGACAGGGGTGAAATCCCCAGTCAACATTTGTCTGATGTGTTTGCCTGTATTTGGGAAAACGAGTCCGACCCGGACAACTGGAGGAAGTTGGTGCTAGTATCCATTTTCAAAACGGGCTGGTAGTGAGTGTGGTAACCACAGGGGGATCAACATAACCTCGATCGTAACGAGACTGTCGGTGTCACCGATGCTTCGTCGCCTTACAGTGGCTTGTGACTTGAGAGCGGCAAGCGGGATTCCGGCCTGGTAGCGGTTGCGTTGACCAAATCTTCACACTCCTTCAGGTGCTAGAATAACGCCATACGTATTTATGAATCTTCAAGGTGCAATCGACTCGATGGATAAGTCCGTTCTCCTTACCACGTTGGCCCACCAAGGAATGCCCCAGAAGTTTGTGAACATAATCCGTTCTTAGTATTCTCAGACATTCGGTCGTGTGAGAGTTTATTGAGAGCTCTCCAAACGCTTCCGTACACAAAATGGTGTCCGTCAGGTTTCTCACTCTCTCCATCTGTCATGATTTTTGTGTGTTCATTCTTACCATATATACTCGTACTGAACTTTTGTATGTACATTTCAGCTCATGTACGCTTGTTCTTAGACAAGTAAAACGTTGGTTATCCTCGAAAACCTGGACTCTGTTCTAACTCGTTCTCGGACTCATTCTAAACGTCTCA